GTGTCACCCTATGCATACACGCACACTGTGAAACCTCATAGTAATGTTTGTGAATACGGGCGTTAGAATAGGCAGATAATACAAAGCTAAGTAGAAACCATTGTTTGCATTCTCACAAGTTTTTTAAATTAATACAGATATTATTAATATTATATTCATAATATTCACTTACTTTATATTCATAGCATCAATCATAAAATGGTTCATTGGAAGTCGAGCTAATGACTCTCAGGTATCATAAGTATTTTAACCACTAAGGCCCAGTTTTTTGATTCATAGTTAAAATAACAAATTGTTAAATTTTGCTACTAATGGTTAAATATTAACAAAATGTTAACTAATAGTTAAAAAATGTACTAAAAGTCAAGCTAACCATTGTTCGAAAAACATTTTTTTCTGATATTTAACCACTTGTCATTTGACATCTGTCAAATTTGACTATTGGTTATTTTAACTACGAATCAAAAAACCGGGCCTAAGTCAGGAGAGATTAATAAACTAATTAATCTTCCAACACACATGTCCCATACTCCACTTCGTCTCAATTTTCCCATGCCCAAAACGGCAAGCAAATATAAACCATAGTCGAAACTTCCAAACTCATTTAACGTTATGAATGGCAACTAGATTCCATGAAATTAATATTCACCCAAAATACAGACAGTTCAATTTTAAACTCTTTCAACTTTGGCCATTATTCATGGAGCAATGTTTCAAACTTTACTTGTCAGTGGCCATACAAAAAGTTGTAGAATGAGAATCATACGATGGAGTTTAATATCCATTGCGAGTTATTTGTAGAGACTGTTTTATTCGGACTACTGAGTTTTTGTCAATAAAACCTAACTTATAACACTTATGTTATGGTACCAAATTATGGAGCGAATCAATTTCTTTTAAACTCAACTGAGGGAAGAGCTAACTAATAGCATTATTTAGGCTGAGTTGCACTACGTAACTTTAACCGTGACTATAACGATAACCGATGCATTTTGTATGGAGTTTGAGTAAGATGGTGCAACCCAGCCTGAATAATTCAAACGCATGTCTCATGGAAATATACTATTACTTGCATATAAGTAAGCAGCCTACTCTCCGCGCCATTAAAACTACATATTTTTTTTTTAATAGACAGGTGAAGCAGAAGACTGTTGATGCCAAACTCTACGTATTATATAAACATTTCTTCAAATGCTTAATGAAGTAGTGTTAAGTTAATTGAGACAGTTAACTTCCTGATTGGATCTATTTATATCATATTTTATTCCCCAAACTCTTGGCGTGGTCTATACATTATTTATAATTCAAGTGACACTTTACTTATACTAGTTCTTAGAAAAAAATATTTCCTCTAGCTATTTGTCAAAAGGTCGCGCCATTTTTTGGAAGACATTCAGGAACTTGAATAATTCGAGCTTGAATTACGTCAATCCGCATAATCGCCCATACAAACATAAGCGGCATGTTTATTATTAAGGCAATTTACCTAACGCCTGTGTTAGGTTACTGTCAAGACTGTCGTAGGCTGCTCTTAGTGATGTAGTATCATTATTTTTACTCATAATGATAAAAGATGAAGATCAAGGGTCAGATTGGCAAAACAATCGTTTTACCTAAAAACAAAACAGGTGACTGTGAGATCTAACACATTCATTTTAGTCTAATGACTATTTTCTTTTTCCCGAAAAAAAATTTGACTCATTCTGTAACACCGTTGTAATTGACAAAGTGTTATGCTTATTAGCACATCAGTTGAAAGTTTTCAAGAGAAATCATTAAAAATCCGCTAACAAAAAGTAGTTAAAGTACGAATTACGTATTTATTATTTACCTACTTTATTATTTATCTATTTTATTTATTATAACAGTTTAGAAACTCATTATAAAATCAGCTCCAGCTCAGTATCGCTGAACAGTTACCGAACAGCGATTTATTCCAACGTTGGGCTATCTGAAACTTGGCTACAAATGTCCTATTGCTATATACATTTTCGAGCGACCTTCCAGTGCACTGCGGGACAGCTTACATCCTGGTCAAACGAGAAAAGTATAGAAGAATACAATACAATACCTAATTTAAGTCCAAAATTTCATCTGATACTACGCTATTTTCCCAATACAACGTTTATAATGTGTACCAAATAATTATACCGTAGGCACTGTTACGATACAAACTGTGTTGCATCACCTTAATTTTAACCTTAACTAATTATAACCGGTGTTTTTGTAAGTATAGACTTTGACAGACTTTTGACGCTTGTTAGAGTAAATGTAAGATAGTGCAAGGTTTATATACCCTTATGTACCGATTACAGACAACAAAACAAGGGTAAATAAAATACTTTTTTATTTAAATAGATCGACATATTTGCACAATTATTATTTCCGTGACGATATCACCCAAAACAATAGTGCAAAACTTCCATCTATTTAAATTAAGTAGTTTCCGGTTGACGCGGAAGCTTATTCGGAGATGGGGTGAAAACTTTTGCAACGTTATCCTTAATAACTAAGTTAGTTTAAGGTAAATATAGTTTATTTAGTTATTCATTAATAGTAATAACCCAACTACAATGTTACTGACAATAATTATTATCGTTAAAATATTTTCCAATATTATATTTCCAATATTAGAGTACTTATTTAAAATACACTTTCCAATTATAAGCGTTTGTTGTAATAAAGTATTTCGGTGTTGTTTTTCAGCGCTTGATTATAATTACTGCAATTACAACGTACAAATAAATGAACGAGTACTCGTATAATCAGTCACTTCTAAAAATTTTCTTCTTTCTGAGCTTTTTTCTTTCACCATCTTTTCACGACTGAAATATATTTACGTATATTTACATCCACACAAATGTACTGAGGAAGTGTTTCGTATGCAGCAGCAACCTAATGCATTCTATTAAATCAACCTTGACAAAATAGGTTCCTCCCAAATGCGCTTCGAAACAACTGCAAAGGTCAGATTTTAGTCTTTTATTATTTCGTGTTTACGTAGGTTATTAAGATTAACGTCAACAGAAAATCACATTAAGAGCCAAAGCACACGATGCGTTGCGGTGGCGGTGGGACGCCGGAGCGGTATCGCCGCATCGTCTTACATACAAATATCTGTGGTGAGCACACGTGCGATGCGGCGTACTACAATAAATTAATCACTAAACCAGTCACCAAGTTTCTGAAGCACTATTTCTCATAAATATCCACGATTTCACTCACTTAAAATCTGAAAATATCTCAGAGTTCACAGCGTGACAATGAGTACCTACTAACGAACTGTCAAATAAGTAGTCGCAAAAAACGATCCTGTTCGCCGTGACGACGACGGTATCACACATCTCTTTTATCACGCAGTGTTGCTGCTAGTGACATCTTGCTCGCTCAGTTCTTGGTTGTTCTATTCCGTTAGGTATATTAACTTTATGATTATATTAACTTTATGATTATAAGTAGGCACGACGAACTCTTTGCGGTACGGCAACGCATCGTGTGCTTTAGCTCTAATGGTATGTATTTTCACGACCGCACTTCAAACCACAAGACATTACAATTCACTTAAAATAAACATGACGTTGATGAACGCCATCTGCGGTTGCAGGTTCGAAACCCGCCTAGAGCTAATGCCTAATGCTATTCTAATGAGTATGAGATTGAGCATAGACTATTAAGTATCTAGCTTAAAACAATAGCTTTAATTAATGCAGCGTAAATTTTCAAAAACCAAATTTTCACTTACAGGAAAAGACACAAAAACCCGTATATAAAATTAAGTTATTTATTGTGTATGTGCTTCGTTTAGTGGTTTGAACTTTGAAATATACCTCGATATAGTAAATCTGCGCCGATATCTTGATCCCACGGAAATCCAGTTTTCAAAGGGGATGACATGTTAAAAATGTTAACGTTAAGGCTGAGTTGCACCACCTAACCTTGACCGTAACTATAACGATAACCGGTGTTTTTGTATGTAGTTTGACAGATTTCTGACGTTTGTCAAAGTTAAAGTAAGATGGTGCAACCCAGCCTAAAAGTTTAAAACACATAGCGTATCGGGGGACAAGCCCATTATACGCGCTTCATCACACAAATTACACTGTGGCTATACTACAGCAGTTATGACACCCAATTACAGACTATCACGTGACCACTCATTATAACTATGAATACTCAGTCGAAAATACACTTCATTAAACGGTAGAAAACCTTTGAGTGCTAATCCTTTAGGATTATACTCCGAAGTCTGCAAATGGGGCAAGCCAATTAGCCCCAGGAGTTTTCGTCTCGCAGAAATATTGGATTATTAGGTCCCAAAATAAATTGAGTTCCTGAAATATTCTAATTTAGATTAATTAATAAAGTGTTCGATAAGATAACTTTAAGGACTGAAAGATTAAAAACACAGTTACAAAAATATATGGGCTTATTTATTCAATAAAAATAGTAGGAAAATATTCTGAATGAATTCTGAACATAGTTCAAACGAAGAGAAATTATTAGAATTATTATTTAGGTTACTGACTGAAATGATATTAAGATCATTTCAGTCACAAAAACATTCCTCATTTTGACACAAATAAAGGAATACTTGTAAGCATCCAGTGGCATTCGCCCTTTATCTTTTTATTACAAAGAGGTGATTTCAATAAAGCCCATTGTTTTTCACGAGGGCTATACAAGCTGATAACCTTGGGTGAGATACTGAAGATCGTTTTACGGTAGAAAAAAAAGGGAACCACATATGGGAGAAAATACGCTATGAATATTGAAGCGTATAAGAATTCCATTCCCGAGGCGGCAGAATTCCCGAAAAGCGTTCATTACTTAAGCTTACATTAAGGGGTTGTAAGTGTTGGGCGAGCGTGCACCATAAGAGAAACAATAATCAAGTTTGCGCTGAAACTAGAGGGAATGGTGGACTATATTTTTATGGTGGCGGATCCCTATCCTTCGGGATCACCGAATTGCAGATTCAGTCTACACTCCGACACCGCCGGGGTAGGTCACCGCGCGTCGCTCCCTCGCACGCCGCATTTCGTACGAAACTTCAAATTCAACCGCTCGGTTTCTAAGACACTCTAGTGGTGCAGTTCTCAGTGAGCTGTGACTGCATTCGTTTTGTGCGTTAGCTCTGGATATTCGTGCCAACTTTAATAGGTGGTGTTCGTTGCGAATGTTGACGCAGTTGACAGATGAGAGCGGTAAGTGTCATGTTCGGGATTAACGAATTTCCTGGAAATCTGAAAAGCTCTTTCAGCCTCCAATTTATTTTTTCACTGATTTTTCGGATAAACGTTTCGAATGGGACAGATAACTCGATTAACTTAACTTCCCAAAACAATTTCTAGTTCCTTACCTACTTTACCTTTGACATTAAATAAATAAGAAAACAACTCGGCGAAGAAAATTGAAATAAAGCGGACACTCCCAATGTCGTTTAGGGGAAATAACGAAATAAAAGTTGCGACTCAAGTTGCTTCTTGAAAATTTACTCAGGGGGATGGTCAAAGCCATTCGTCAAGTTCCTGTTAACAAACTCTGGGGTAATCCGGGATGAACAGAAGCAAAGCCTAATTTGTCACTTTAATCAAGATGGGGCCTGCTGGTTGTCATTTTATTAACTCTTTTGTTTTATTCCAACGTAAACGTCTGTTCTCGGTTTTTGTTGGCCTTTTTTGCGGCAATTTGCATTAAGACTTGATTTAAACAAAGGTCGTAACATAATTACATGGGTTTCATAGGTGCCCCCAAATTAAAAAAGGTTTTAACCGGTTTGATTACATTGCGGTTTATTTATGGACTTATTTTTTTAAAGCGAGTAATTAAGTTTCTAGTGGAGTTCACAATAATACATTAAGGTCATCAAAGTTGAGATTAAATTCCTTCGAATCCCAGTATTTTATTAATTTATGTATAGAAACAGTTGATCATTTCACACGCAACACGCCAAAGCAATTTATTGTGATTAAGGTTTATTACTGTTTGAACGAGATAAATCAGTTCCAGATTGAAACTTTCGAACTCCTGTATAATTTTGAATGGGAATTTATTTTCCTGTTACCGTACCTACAAGTTCGGACTCCCGGGTGGGAAAAAGCAGAAACATTCCCGTAATTAAAACCAAATTGTTGTAAATCAAAATTGTTGAAGATAAACTTTCAAAGCGGGATAAGTTTATATGAGTTTTTGAGGAAATACAAAAAAGTTGTAGACTTTTTCGGTGGTGAAATATTTTCCTTGAATTTATTATAAATACCTTTTGATGCTTAGCAAACTGGATTGAAGATTACATTTCCCGTGACCGTGTCGTCTGCCATCAAGTAAAGCTGCCTGATTTTTATCTTCTTTCTCGCATTTTAATGCTCTTCTACTTTGTCTCGAGTAATGGACTGTAATAAATCTCGAACTTCATTACTTCCACACTAAGCTTAAGTGTTATATTCCCGTATAATTGGTTTAACTTTTCTCCTGCCTCCAACACTCTCTGAAAGGCCTTTAAACTAGGGGCACCATTCGTACGTATTACACCGGACAAAGTCTGAAACTTATTTTAAGGTCGTCAAAAAATCTAACCCACAAACTAGGGGCACCATTCGTACGTATTACATCGGACAAAGTCTGTAACTTATTTTAGTTTTGGGTCGTCAAAATGCACGCTACGTCAATTTTTTATTATTTTTATGCAGAACAAGGCAAGTATTTGACCGCAATCGCACCAGATGTTAAGTGAGATGCAATATGATGGTGCCCTTTAAGTGCCTATTCACTCTCGTCTTGAAAAGGTTCGGATTGTAGTGTTCGGGAAAGACAGCAGCAGGCAGCAATAAAAAGCAATAAAAAAGTTATCCAAACGCTTGTATTAAACATTTTGTAAGTAAACGGAGTTTTGTGAGGATTTTAAAATTTATTGGTTACCCTACACTAAACTGATTTCTGTGGCTAAAAATAAAACAGCTAAGATGAAGATATTGTGACGGTCGCTTGATTTCATTTTAACTTGATTTTGTGACAGCCAAAAAAGGTTTTCTGGGAGTAAGTAATAGATATCATTAAATAAAAGGTGACGTTTTTTTTTCATCACAATTAATTCTTACTAAAGTAGTATTTTCTTAACAACCTCACTCTGTCTTAATTCATATTTACTTAGTAAAACTCCTTCCAAAGAGCAATATTGCTAAAAACCAGTGTCCGCGAGGCCATATTAGTTAGAAATATTTTGATATTTAAACTTAATTTGTTATGTGTGTGTTTGAAACATCATTTTAGCGTGAAACAATCAGAACTGTGAAGTTAAAATACACAAGCAGTTTCAGTAGTTAAATGAAAAGTGAGCAATATTAAGCAACTGCGCAAAATTGCAGAATATAATTTGTTTGTTAGTACACTAGCTCAGTTCTTTATGCCCTAGTTTTGTTTGTATCCCCGAATACTTGATACAGACAGACGTAACTGGTGAAATTAAGCAGCTTCTAGCTTTTGTAGAGAGTTATAAAGCACATTTTACTGACCGACAACGTTCCTTCTTTAGTATCTTCCTTAGAAATAATATCGTCTATGCAAAAGTTACTTAGTAACTTATTCACATAGCCTGGAAACTAGACTAGAATAGACTTTGTCACAAGCTGACACGTGCTATAAAAATGTATATAAAAAATGAGACGGCATACGCTGATCGCGCATATGCTATATATATTGCTATGGGCATAGTAGAATGCGATAGGCTTGGATCTTATAGAAGTAATATCAACTACTTTATTAAACTTCATACAAGTTTAACGTTTGTGTCGCATCTCGACTGAACTTTTACTTGCAGTATAATAAAAAACTGTACGATTGCAAGTTGGTACTGTGACTCTACGTCTAACTTCTAGTCGCTGATAGCTTGCTGTAAAGATTTCACAAGATCTTAAAAGGATTGGAGAGACTTTTAGTCTATATTATTTTTCTTAGGTACTGAGATCTTAATACTCAGGTCTCTAAGTTTTGATAACAATTCTAGTGCTAGTCTTGTTACAAATAAACAAACAATGAGTTTTAGGGATCGCAAAACATTGTTGTTTAACAAAGCAAAGGTTACATTCAAGTAGAAAAATCTTTACTTTTTTTTCATATTCTCTTTAGCTGAAGTTAATAATAAACGATTACTTATCTCAATTGTACAGTAGCGGCGTAAGGGGGGGGCGGTGGGGGCGGTGGGGGCGGTGGGGGCGGTCCGCCCCGGGTGCCAAGCATCAGGGGGTGACAAAGTCGCACAGATTAGTACTCACTGACGCATCTGCATGGCAAGGACGGTCGTGATGTCATGACAGGGGGGGTGCCATTCTGGGGTGCCCCGTGCCTTAGGCTATAATTTATATTATGACGGGGGGGGGGGGGGGGGGCCGCCCCGGGGTCCAACCTATGCTACGCCGCCACTGCAATTGTAAATGTCAATACAGCTTTTATTTGTAACGCTGTGATTTTCATTGCGTAAAATAGTGTGTCTAATCTTGAACTCCTACTTATTAAAATTGGATCGTATTTTTAGCTATAATAAGGACACAAATCGAGAAACATTCTATCTAAAGTATTCAAAAGCTTTGAAATCAAAATTGAAATGTACAAAATAAGGTAAAATAACAATCATAGCTCCACAAACATCAAGAACGACGGCTCTCGAGAACTATTACAAGAATTATTAACCGAACAGCGAATCCGTTTGGCTCGTTTACTTCGAAGAATACTTTTGTCTTCGCTATGTAAACAGGATTTTTGCGAACACGACTTTTCTGCTGAGCGGGAATAATATTCGTGTTACGTTTAATGGAATGAAACTTGAAAATAATACGTTTACCTTCGTAAACGTGTTCAGGTTTTATAGCTTTGTTACTGTTGGCTCAAGGTGAACGGTGATAGCGTATTGTTCTGGACGTATTTTAGATGACAACTTCGAACATAGAGTAGATCCAGTGTGCCTACCATGAGTTTACGTTAGGTGTGCTCGCTAGCGACTGCGTAAAAAAATGACATTTAAATGTATGACATATTGTACAGCGCCCCTAGCGGCTACTTTCAAGAAATAAAATCTTCATATAATTTTTTGACGTATTCGCTAGCGAGCTCACCTAACGTAAACTCATGGTAGGCACACAGGTCTCTCTATTGTAGTGGGGTCTCTACCAAAATTATGGATTTGTATCAATCTGAATTAAAGCAGTGTACTTTTTGTTTAAATAGGTTTATTTCTAAAAATGTACAAGGTCTGTGTCTATGGTACTTTTAGGTGATCCGGAAAACTTTGAATCGAATCATGAAAATTTCCTTAAGGGAAAAATTGAGGACAATAAGCAACAAATATGTCATTTTAAAGAGGCTTTGGCTTAATTTTTGTTTTTATTGTGTTTAGTACTGTATCTCATGTTGATAGCCCAATAAAATAAATAAGTGAATAAATAAAGAGATACGTTTATTTAATGTAATTTTCATAATATGTTTTTATATCTACATAATTTTATATACCCAAGCAAGCTAAAAGCATAGTTACAGCTACGAATAAAAATATAGTCCATATCAAAACTGCTGTAAAAATACTCCGAGAATTAAACTCATTCTTACAGGCTTACATTTCGTAACCTTTTTCCTTCAATTAATAATCCCCACAGAAGTGATTTCTATTCAGCCGCACAGAAAGACCTTTGCCCATCTGTGGACAGTGGACACTAATAGCGATTCACTTCATCTTTTTACCCGTCGACTTTCTTTTCTTGTCATGATAATAGAAAATGTCAGGTTTGCATCACTTTACTTGTCATTACTCAATGTCCTTTTAAAAGTGATAAACTGTGTTTTTAGTTTTCGTCAGAGAATACTGGGAGTTAACTTAAAAAGTTTCTGTTAATAACTTAGTTCAGTCTGAATTCTCTCAATGTTCATTAATTAAGTGTTGAAAAAGTGTGTTTTAGTTTTCGAGAGATTGCTCTTGGAGTACTTAGTAAAGTTCCTATTAATACACATCCAAATTCTCGATCACAAAGTTAAAAAAAAACTTTAATTCTTTCTTCAAGTTCTACAGACTACTGCAAATCAAGCGAAACACAGTAGTACTATATCTTTAAACTAAGTGCTATTTTGCTACAAAAATGTGTAGCCTGACGAGCCTGTCGACTGTTAAATTTTATTACGTAATAAATCACCAATGCATTTTTAGATGTTTGTTGTGTAT